CAGCCACACATAAAACATGTTGGAAGGAAGGAAGGAGGGAGGGAGGGAGGGAGGGAGGGACTGACCAAACTAACGCATGAAGATACCCTGTTGCCTTGGGTTAGACCTGCCCTATGTCTAGAAGATGCCTAATTTTTGCATACTTTCTGCACAGCCCAAGACATTGTGTATAGCAGCAAAATCTGGGGACAGAATAGTCCAGAAAGAGAAATGTTAATGTTTTAGCCAATAGGCAAGGACATTTCAGCTCAAAGTAAGTCTCTGTGAGGCAATAATTTAGGTAAATGAAGTGCTGCCAATTAGAATCAAAATAGCTTACTTTATATTTCCCAAAAAGCGGATGTCGGCCTCCAAATACTAGCATGTCATCCTCTCGCTCCAGGATAAAACGGACTGGACAACCCGTTCTACAAAAATATATACAACATTAGGGTGAGTTGCTAGGAGACCAAAGAGCATATGTCATAGTGTAGGGATTCCCAGGCCTTTGGGGCACTTTTGGAATTGTACAAACTTGTAACAGGCATTCTCATAAAATGTCTCTTATGATAGACATAATCAGTGACAAAACTTGCATTTGTCAGCAGGCAAACAGGCCAGAGTGCTTCCCACTTCACTTCACATTGTTTTTTACCTCCTCAACTTATTTATCTCTCTCTCTCTTTTTATTGGCAAACAGAGTACATGGTTGGTCCCAATTAGATTTATATCCTGCCTTTCATGCAATAGTTGAAAGTGGTGTATATCATGTTCTTTCCTTCTGTTTTTCCCCACACATTTTCCTGTGAGGAAGATTTGGCTGAGAGAGGGTGATTGGCCCAGTATCATCAGTGGGATTCTGTAGCTAGGAGTAGACTAGAACCTGGGTATCCCCAGTACTAGCCCAACATCTTAGCCATTGTACCTCACTGGCTCTTATTTTCTAAAAATGCTTACAGGCATTTGCAGGCCCTAGAAATATTCTTTAAAATGTTATGCCTGAAGCTGACCCCTTGGTTTATAGCATTCTGATTTCCCATTTAATGATTTTTAACTAAAATGATAAACATAAAAACAGGTGAGGCATAGAAGTTAACAAAGAGGGCCAAAAATGTTGTGTGGGCACACTGGTGCTTGTGGGGGTCACAATGGGAACTCAAGTCATTAGGTTTCAGAAGTTTTATATATGTTTTATATGCAAGTAGCATCAACATTATCACACTTTCTGATATACAAAGCTCAACGGGCATCAAGTTTCCACCTAAGTCCAAGGAAGGTGATGTGTGCAAGCTGGAACACACCACTAATTACTGTCTCAGATTATTAGGATCTTTAGCTACATTTTATTGAAAATGTAATTGCAGCATTGGAAAAAGCTGGTGAAAGAAAGAGAAGTGCAGCAGTCTAATTCACGTGGAAGCTACTTTATAGTCAATACTGCTGTTAAGTGTGATGCAACTTATAAAAAACAGGTAACTTCTAAAGCAGCCACCTATTTTCTTGTATAACATGAGGAGAATGAGGCTCAGAGGGTAATCAGTGTAGGCAGAGTTTCTGGGCCCCTATAGTTTCACACCCTAAATAAATGATTGATTTTCTTCATAACAAATTGATGTCCATAATTTGGGAAAACCAGAGAAAATAAACAAGAAACCATTAAATATCTGAACAAGGTTTCATTTTGGATGGTTGCACTTTAGTTTAGCACTTACTTCTTTGCAGCCACTGCCGCTACAGCTGCAAAAAATGGAGGTTTAGTTGTTTTTCCCCCAAAAGCTCCTCCAACTCGTTTTGTGTGGCACATGATCTTATTGCTCTGAACATCTAACACAGAAGCCACGAATTCCTGTAAAAAGAAAATCATTCCCAGGTTCTTCTACACAGGTCAAGCAGCATATCCCCACCTAATTATTTACAGCATGTTCACTCTAGCTATGAACATATAATTCCACCTCTATGTATATATGTATTTGGGTATTTTATCCTCAGGATATTACATGTACACATTTCTTTAGTTTCACGGTTATCACCACTTAAAGGTTCTTGAAATACTCCAGAAATCTAAAACCTGTTTTGAGGAAGTGATTGTGGAATTATCATGTGCACCGGAGCTTCCCCAGTCCCACCTTCGTCATTTTGCAAAAGTTCGTCAAGTTTCTGCTCACTTTGGTGAATATAAATGGAGAAAGCATGCAGGGGGTGGGGGTTCCTGATCTATCTTACCACAAAGATAAGATCCTGTTCCAACAATGGTTCACGTCATTTTGCAAAAGTTCGTCAAGTTTCTGCTCACTTTGGTGAATATAAATGGAGAAAGCATGCAGGGGGTGGGGGTTCCTGATCTATCTTACCACAAAGATAAGATCCTGTTCCAACAATGGTTCACGTCATTTTGCAAAAGTTCGTCAAGTTTCTGCTCACTTTGGTGAATATAAATGGAGAAAGCATGCAGGGGGTGGGGGTTCCTGATCTATCTTACCACAAAGATAAGATCCTGTTCCAACAATGGTTCACCTTAAACTGAAAAGTAATCAGCAATATCAGTTTGAAACTTAGATTGTTTAAATAATAAAGAAGCATTATTGTGTTTTGATGGCCTTTATTGCCTACCTTGTTTTCAATCTGTATTTAATGTTTGTAAATCACCTGGTTATACAGTATAAACAGAGGCAATAAAATCAACTAATATTGATCTTGCTATTATTAATGTAGACAAAAACTAATACAAATTCAGAATGTCTTAGGATGAGTGGGTATGTGACTTGTCTTACCTCATAGCTGAATCAATGGCAAAGCTTTGGGTTACCTCACCTGTACAAGTGCAGCATCCTGAGTGGACACATAGATATCCATGGTATTATCTTCTTTTCTTGGAATGACAAACACACTATTTGTTTCCAGGTAAAAATGTTCTTGACCCCCAATGTGGATTTCACCTATTAAAAACAATAGTGCCAGACAGATTATTAGTATCTGATTTATTGCTTATTTCACACTAGATCCTAACTTCCTCAGTCTTCCTCAGTCTGAGACTCTCTGGATCCATTAATTCAGAATTCCCTTGGCGATACAGACTGGGAATAATAGTCCCAAGCAAATAAAAACAGGATGATCAACAGTAGAGAGTTATTGAAGCAGGGAGGATTACATGCCATTATCCTGTGATAAACATTTCATTTTAGGCAACCCTTCTGATTCATAGGTGAAAAGTTCACCTGTAGCAACTTTAAGCAAAATGTCAATAAATTAATAGAATCTACACTATAAAAATATACTGTCATATCACTGGGACTTCATGGTTATTCAGCATTGATACTTCTTACCTTCAATAGTTTTGTCCACAGTCTGAAATGCTTTTTCCACATCTCCTCTTTCAATTTTTTTAACTTCTGTCAAGAAGGATTTATGCTTAATTGCTTCCTGGCATAGAGGAGGAAATTTTAGCACTGGGTTCCAGAATATAGAGGATACTACAGAATTCATGTATCACATTCTGTCTCAGTACAATTGCATTAAATTTGCTCCAGTTAAGAAGTTGCCTCACAGTAAATGTGAACACAATAAGCTTTTCCCCAGTTCATGAAATACCTGATCCTCAAAGAACTGTCATGACAAATAAATAAAGCTATAAAAAGAACAATGACCAGTCTCAAACATTTCCCAAACTGTATTCCTTCATATTGGCCCACAGTGGGGACATTGCCTGTGATTGTAAGTAGCACTCAGCTCCTAATTCTTATTTTCTAAAAGAGCTTATTCAGCTCCATGTATATAAATGAGGAACATATTTCAGGTAAGTGTATGGTGGTGTAGCATATTAGCTAGGACAAGTTGTGCTATCTTTATGTGAGCCAATGTATCACAAACTTTCTTGACATCATCAGCAAGATGGAGAAAGTGATGCCTGACTCTTCTTAGGGATGCTTGGTGAACTTCTGATCCACATTGCCTGGATTAAAGTGTTGTTTGAAATTAAAATTATCTTTGGATTTATACTTCTGTAATTTTTTAAAATGAGGTTCTTACTCAAGAAGCTTACTTAAAATACATTTAAAACACATTTCTTACAATCAAATATTCAGACATGCATACAATATTTTTTGATCAACAATGTATATTCAGAAAATATGTAATTTTTTTTCATGTTTAAATTACAGAAACACAATAGAAACACAACTTAGGAGTTGCATATGTGAAAGTGATGCAGGCTGGATATCGATGATCTGACTGTTTAACATTTTTTGGGGTTGGAAAGAGGTTTTGTCTTTGAGCTGATTATAGATCAGAGGTTTTCCACTTGGAAAAAACTTAAGGGAAGTGCTTGGGGAGATGCAGTTGGGATGTGGGAGAAGGGATAAAGCTTCCCTAAAACACATGGTACAGATGGGAAACCTCCAGAGGATCCCTGATTCTGCTGTCATTGACACATGAAAAATCTGCCACTAATGCATCAATTAATTGTAATCTATTTTAAGTCCACCTTGGCTTTATTAGGTAAGTTATAGATAATGAATTAAAGCGTCATAGTGCTCTTCTCTTCTTCCTTATTTCTCTGCCCTTTTGCTAACAAATTGGTTCTTTGTTGCTTCAGACATTTCTCAGAAAATGCATAGAGAGATTTGCCAGAGGAAACAAGCATTCCAAATAATTAAAGGATTGGAATAGCTTTGTATTAGAAAAGGGAAAATCAATTTGGAGTTTTTAGTTTAAAAAAAGAAATTAACGGAGGAAGCAATATGTCAGAATTCCATGGAGTGTGTTTTCTGCTCTCATAATACTCTAATCGTGTGCAACTGATTAGCAGTAGCTTAAGGAATGACATACAATCCATGATTAATGTTGAAATTTACATAGCTGCAGGCTTGGAGGACTTTAAAACTGGACTTACTTATGGAGGTCTGCAAATGGTTATTAGTCAGAGGATCTGAACGGAAGCAGTTCGTGCTGGTGGGGCAGGGTCAATAGACAGGGTGACTTTATGCCTTATTTGGAACTTATTGTGTTACTGTTGGAACCAGGATACTGGATTAAATACTGGACCTCTGCTTTGATTGTGCAAGGTTCTTTTTACTTAGTTAAATAATTAAGGCAAAAGGTCACCAAAATGCACAAAGCTTCCCAAATGTTTACCTCAATTGTCAAAATCACTTCCAGATCTTGATAGTCAATCTTGACTTTTTTTGCTGCTTCTTTTGCACACTCAGAGGATGTTGCGACCACACCACATATAATATGCCCAATGAATAATACCTGTGTGAAACCCAAATGGCAGAAGTTGCATGACTTTAGAATACAGTACAGTAAAAACATGATTTGATTTACCTCTGTAAATTTGTTGTAAGGTTATTCATCTTTTTTTTTAACAAAGTTCCAGGGACCTTCAGTATCTTGGAAATTATCTCTAGAACTCTGCAGCATGATGATTGGTAAAAGCAGAAAGTTTTTTTTTCACCCAACTGCTTGTTTACCATCTAAAAGGATCACTTACAATTTACCAAAGGAGACAAATTTAGTTTCAAAAAAGAAGAAAACTGGCAGTGACTTATCTGAATTATACATATAGATGCAAACTAGAATTAATTATAATTCAAAGAGAGAGCCAGTCTAGATGAGGGCAGATTTTGGTCAGTCCCCTATATGCCTGCTCAGGCAATTGGTTAATGCAGCGAGTGGCAACTTTCTTTTTATTGTTATTTTTGAACTGGAGGGCATTTCAGATAGAAATGCCTTCAAACAAAGGGCTTCCCTTAACAGAATAAGAACATGCTGATCCTCTTTCAATGGGCAGCTGCAAAGGAGGATTTAGAAACCTTGGCCCTCTAAATGTTGCAGAACTACAACTCCTAATAATCTCAACCAATATGGCAAATGATAATGGTATTCTCTGTTCATGAGAATCAGCATAGATCTGCATGATCAACGGTATCAAAAGCTGAGAGGTCTGGCAAGACCTGGGCAAGACCCATGCAGTTGCATGTCCACTGTCCTGGTCTTTCCACAGGTCATTCACAAGAGAGGTCTAGCAATGAGGCCCTGGTACTGTGCCCAGGCCTGAAACCTGACCAAGGAGCTCTTCTGGATGCAATCCTGCTCTGGGCCACCATTCATTGTGCATCATTGCACAATGTTGTGCAGATTTCCAGGGCTGCAGTGGATGTTTTACTGACAGCATCCTGCATTGTTTCAGTTTGGGGCTAGGTAGACCCAGGACTACAACAGCATTACACCATCATAAACTACTGTAGCAGTGGCTGACATAACAGCATAACACCAGCTTGCCTGATAACATCTGTGAGCCTACTGTAGAGTTAAAATAGAATAATAATGGGCATTCCTTGATCCCTCAAGTTATATTGTCATTGTGAACCTAGTTCAGATATTGAAAACCCCTTTGAGTATTTAAATGTTGCCTAGAGCTAAGTTTTTTGTTCTTTAGATAGCATTTAAGTTATATCTATCCATCTGTGGATTGACCCTGCTGATAGAACAGATTTTTCTCTCCCTTTCCCCATAGATCTTGTGCACCCCTAATTTTCTTATGAAGTGTTGTGTGGAAACCTTTGACCATTACATCAAAGAATTCCTATGGTGGGAAGTGCTCAAATCAATAGTTATTTCCCCTTGCTTGATGTGTTAGTTTGTTCCACCAAAGTCAATAACTTCCATTATTCTAAAAGTGATTGGGCAAGCAGGATAATTGCAAATCTGTATCTTGGGCAAAGAAACACTACAATAAGAAGAAACTCCTATACCAACTAATCTTGGCATAAGCAGAGCATAAAGCGCCACTGTTACGTAGAAATAAAATATCAAAACCAAGAATTACCTCATCTTCTGCAAACACTTCCTCTTTGCCATCACCATTTTTCCCTGGAATATCTTTAGCTGTTACTACATCAACCACACCTGGTTCTTTCAAGGCTTCTGATATATCAATTGCTCTGGAAAAAAGAAGAAATATGTTCCATTTAGCTCAGTGCAAGGAAATGGTTAGAAGAACTCTCAAAAGCACATACTTCTTCATGACCTAAAACAAAACATCAATGACAAAAATACATACTTTTCTTTAGTTGTGATTTCAGGCAATTTAAGACAATCTACAGATTATCTTCCTGCTCCAGTTTCTGATTCTACTTAGTTAACTATAAGTAAACAATAGCCTAATTCGGTCTGTTTTTCAAAGGGAAGAAGTCATCAAAATACCATATCCATGCAACAAAGATATAGTTTGAAAAAAAGTAGTTGGAGAACATATATTCCTCTCTTCCCATGTGTGGTAGTCTTGATCTATCTCATGTGGTTACTGTTATATAAAGTCAAAAACTAGAATGGAATATATTGTGTAATTTAGCCCTAAATCAAGATAAGCTGTGTGTAGAAAGAGCCCAGTATATCTATACTGAAATTTTTAAAAATCTCTGAATCATTTTATCAACTACCCAAATTTTGAGAAAATCCCAGGCTTCCAACAGGAATGCAATTCTAACTCAGAAGAGGTGCTTCCTAGGGCTGTGTGATGCTTGGGAATTGGGTGGTGCTTTGGGTGGTGCTTTGGAGAGCATGGGGTATGAATGAAGCACAAAGTATTGTACACAGAGCCTGCCTTTGTATTCCCATACACCTTTGCAGGCACTGGGTCTACAAAGCAGCTTTTGAGATCCAGCACCTGCAAGGCACTTTTGGAGACTGAATTTGAAGAAGCCTTGTGCTTCCCTTTCTCAAAAGGAGCAGGGTGTATTCCAAAATGTAACCCAACACATGATGTCACTGTGACTTTTTGTGGTTCAGCATTTAGCTCCCACAAAAGAGAGACAAAGACACAAAAACAAGAAAACCCTGATACTCTGGAGTCAGCTATAGTCTAGTCAATTCTGTGAGGTTAACAAAAAAATTAAACTGGAAGTGAAATATAATTGTATCTGGGTTTTTTTTTTAAACTTAATGAAAGGTTGAATACTGATGTTGCAATAGGTTGAATACTGATGTTGCAATAGGCCAAACTTAAAATAACTAGGTAGGCTGGACTCACTTTGAGCTCTGTCCCCTCAACTAATATAGTTGGGAATTGAAACTATTGGGAATCAGGTGAAAAGCCTGGCAAATTGAAGCAAAAGAATCAACAGAATCCAATTCAGCATAATTATTGAAATAGTAACAGATGATGGTGAGAGATTTATGCTTTGAATCTGTTAGTAAACACTTCTTTCAATGTTGTATGTCACTAGACAACCTCTGATCTGTTGGGTTCATGTTTCAGAGCTATTTCCTTACCTAAACAGAGAAACAGAATGACCATGAGAGGGCAAAAAAGCAGTGGGAGCGAGAGCGACTTCTGACTTCCTGCCAGCTTCCCCATTGACTTTCCTTGTAGAAAGTTGGCAGGGAGCATTGGAAATCTTCCTTCCTTCCTTCCTTCCTTCCT